AATATATAAAAATATGCTCAGCCTCACTCATTTTAAGAAAGATGAAAATTAAAACTACACATAGGTACCAATATTTGCTATTGGATTGGCAAATATTTTTTTAAATGATGACACATTGTGTTGGTGAGACACGCTGGGAAATGTCCACTTGTGTCAGGGCTGATGGGACTGTAATTAGGAATGTCCCTTTGAAGCACAATTTGGCAATGACCATCAAAACAGCATATGTATATTCCTTTGATGCAGCAGTTCCATTTCTATGGACTTACAGAGAAACACCTGCAATTGTGGAAAATGACATGTTAAACAAACATTGATTTGGTGGCACTGTTTGTAAGGGCAAAAGATTGCAAGGAATCTAAATGTTCATCAATAGAGGACCAATTCAATGGGTGACAAATCTATACAATGGAGTACTATACAGCCATAAAAATGAGAAAGCTCTTTGTGTGATACCATGAAATAATATCCAAAATGTATTTTTAAATGAGAAAAGTAAGGGGCAGCACTGTGAGTAGAGCATGCTGCTATTTGTATAGAAAAGGAGGGATGTATGTGTAGATTGGAGATAGCAGATTGGCGGTGCTCACTCCCCTGAATGCAATGAGTGAAAATGAATAAGGTAAGTGGTGGGGCTCGGCTCACACAGCCTCATCCAACTCCCGCACTCCGGATTATGTGGGCAGGAGAGCTCAGGACCACGCAGGGCAGCAGCTAGGTAGCCAGTTCAGGATTCCTGGAGGATGGGCTCTGACTGGGAACTGTAGGAGGTCCTGCGACCAGCCTCTTGTCCTACTTTGTCCTGCACACTCTTCTCTGTGGTTTTTACCAAGTAAAATTGCCTGAAACAAACTGGTTTGCATTTTTCCAGGTCAGTTAAGCCATAAGCTGGTTTTCTGCCACAGGCCTTCTTGGGATTGTGGTCAATCTTCCTCTGTTCCCTCCCTCTCATCTTTCCGACTCTTAACCCTGACCCATGCCCACCTGGAACCATAATCTGGGTGGCGTGTTGTTTACACTATGGTCCTTTTCTCTTTCTGCTTCTACAGTCTCTCTCCCATGGGCCAGGAAGAAGGCCTATGGTCCCTCTGTCCAGGCTCTGGCTTTCTTCATGCTGCAGAATTATAACTATTGCTTAGAAAGCATTTATTAAGTCTAGACACTACAAGTGCTTTTCATTCATTATTTCCGTTGTTCATTTAAATATATGAATTAAATGTTTACTAAGTGACATAAGAACTTTGGTCCTGGAGATACAGCAGCAAACATGACAGTTTCCATCCCCATGGGGTTTAGTAGAAAAGTAGCAGAGATGAAACACAAACAAATACATAACATACTTTCAGACAATGGTAAATGCTATGAAGAGAAATAAAGCAAGTTAAGGGCACAAGGAGTGACAGGGGTATGATTTTAAGGTGCTCAGGAAGCACTCATCTGAGGAGGGGCCTGAATGAAGTAAGGAGTGAGCCGTGAGAACAGTGGTGGGAAAAGAATTTCAGGTAGAGGGAACAGCATGTATGAAAGCCTCAGGTGGGAATGCAGCGAGCAAGAAGAAGAATGGAGAAAACAAGGTCAGAAAGGCAACCTGGCTCACATCAGGAGGGTGTTATAGGCAATGGCAAAGACTTTGGAGAGAGTCTATGGAGCCACTACTGCAGGTGAGCTTATGAAGTTGATATGATTTTTCCTATTCTACAGATGAAAGGGTTGAGACTGAAAGAGGTCAAATATCTTGTCCAAAGTACCTAGTAAGTAAAGGGAAGATTCCAGGTTGTACCAACTGACCCCCACAGGACACTGCCAGGATTCGGGGTCTCAGCCCTCTTCTAGGGACTCCAGTGCTGACCCCCCAAAGGCTGGCTGAGGGAAAGGACAGGGACTGTCCTTCCACAGGTCGGTCCGATGCTCTGGCACAGGCTAAAGGAGCCCTCAGTTGCATGCCACGGGCAGGTAGGGGCTGGCTGGGGATCTCAGGTTCCCCACAGTGGGTAGGGTGGCAATGGCTGAGTGTCATGCCAGCTGGACCCAGGGAAGTGCTGACACAGCACAAGTGTCCCTGCTCCACACCCCGCCCACTGTCGATGAATCAATTGAATCACTCAACTGAAAAATTAACTCAAACCCACAGACATCCCTCAAACCCACAGAAGGTCACTGGGAGGCGTACGCCTGGGGCTGAGGCTGCAGGGCACCACCATCCTTACCCCAGCCCTGGGAGCCCAGCTCCAGCCTCTCTGAGGGAACACTTGTGCCCTCAAACCCAGGGCCTTCTGGGGGTTCCATCTTACCTGACTCCTCTTTTCTGCCCTCTGTTGGCAAACCTCTCAGGCCTAATAGCTCGTGTCTTGTCTCTTCTTCCTGGATTTATTTATCAAGTTTTAACTGTGCTATTAGGGTGCTCAAGGTCTGGCTGGGCCAGAGGGATGCACAAAATGACTAACATAGGGATTTTGCCCTCAAGGAGCTTAGCGTCCACAGGGCTGGGAGAGGGGAATCAGATACTTAGAGAAATATAAGGCCATGTTGGGGATAGAGCGTAAACTTCATGAGGGCAGGATTTTTCTGTTTCATTCACTGGGGCATCCTCAGTGTCTAGAATAGTGCCTGGCACACAGTAGGTGCTCAGTAAATATTTGTCCAATGAATGAACACATTAGTGAATGAAAGGGCTATGGTTAGGCTGAGCATGAACCTAACATGACTCTGGGGTAGTGGCCCCCATCTTGACTGCACATGGGAATTACCTGGAGATCTGATAACTGAGTCCCATCCCCAGGGGTTCGAATTGGGCTGGACTGGGGTGCACGGTGGGAACTGGGAGTGTTAAAAGCTCCCCAGGAGATTCTAACGTGCAACCCTGGCTGAGCGCCACTGCTCTAGGACTCACAATGGAAGACTCTAAGAAAGTGGGAGGGGCTGCTGCTTCAGAGACACCTGACAGGTCCCATCCCAGGTGCTCTGTGCTCAGTGAGCAAGGAGGAGAGCGTCCCTTCCTCTGGCATCCTGCCTGCAGAGCCCATGTTGAACACCACCCTTCCACAGTTCTCCCTGTTTCTGTTTCCCTGTCCTCTAGCATCACCCTGGAGACTCACCCCTTCCTCAGCCATCCCTTGCTGCTGTTTCCCTCCTGACCTTGCCCCACATTAAAGGGTTGATCAGCCCATCAATTAATTGTGTCCTAATCCAATCTTGGCTTGGTTGGAGAGAGGGCAGTAAATCCAGCTGGGTAATCATGCCCTGATATTTGTGTAGGGATAATTACTATCTCTCAGGCCTCACTTGGTGGCAAGATGAGATGAAAACCCATAAAACACTACGAGGGGCTGTGGCTCATTGTTTCTTGGCTGCACAGGGCTGGCTGCCAGCCAGCCAGCCCTGCCCGCCCCGGCCCCTGGCATCTTCCCTAACCTCGTCCTCTCTCATTCATGCATCTGGCAGGACTCACCATGAGGGGCAGTCTAGGGTCTGGATCCTGGCTTGGGCTCAACAACTAGTAGGGGCCTCATTATGGGCCCTGGGGACAGCCAGTGTGTGTGTGAGGGGGAGAGGAAGGGAAGGTGGTCCCCATAGCCAGGCAATCACCTGGCCCTAGGAGGTTAGGACAGTAAATACACAGGTATGAAGCACAGGTGTCATTCAGACCAACCCAAGAGCCTGTTGCCATCTGAAAGAATCCAGTGCACATCCACCCGGGCCTTACAGGGACATGAGGTCCTGCATCCTTCAGGAGAGTGTCCTGGCCTGGGATTTCCCTGAAGATGTGATAGCCCCATGGGAGACTTCATTCTAGTGGACCTGAGAGAATGTGAGAGTTAGGAGCTGGGAACCACCTGCAGCCCCAAGAACACAGCCCCCTAACTCAAGAAACGCTGAGCGCCCAATATGAGCCAGGCTCTCCGCTCAGCCCCGATGACACAGGATTGAGCAAGGTCATAGAGTGTCTTGGTTAAAAGGATGAAGCTGGAGTCAGACCCCTGGGTTTGAGTCCTGGTACTTGCAAGTTGTGTGGCCTTGGGCAAGTCATGTGATCTCTTTGTGCCTCAGTTTCCTCAACTATAAAGTGAGATACACCAGTACCTACCCAATCGAGCTACTGTGAGGCTTAAATGAGATAGTTATTATAAAGTGCTTAGATCAGGGCCTGGCACACAGTAGGTGCTATTTAAATACTGTCACCATTACTGTTACTATTATTTAGCTTTCTGGGCATCAACTTATTTCTTTCATTCCTTAGTGTAGAGGACGTTGCTACTCAAAGTGTGGTCCTTGGATCGGCAGCATCATCATAGCCCAAGCGTGTGTAAGTGATGCAGGATCTCGGGCCCCACCCAGACCTGCTGAGTCAGAGTCCACGTTTACATGAGACCCCCAGGTGACTCAGATGGATGCTCTGGACTAGAAAAGGCTCCACGAATTCAAGGTCTGCCTTCCTCCAAGTTGTACCCCCATCACCCAGCACCTCTAGTCTGGCATTGGGTAGGTGCTTGGCAGGTGAGTAAATGAGCTCAGCTGAAAGCTGTGGGGGCCATCGAAGGACTTCAAAGCATTTAGAAAAGCGCCCTTGAAACAGCATGGAGGGCAATTACAGAGGACCTTTAGCTGGCTATGGTGGCCACCTGGGTGAGAAGTGCTGCGTGGCTGAGGCAGGCAGGAGCAGTGTGGGTACGCGGGGTGGGGAGGGAGAGAAAAGGAGGGGCTAGGAGGACTGGGGGCTGCTCCTAATGGGAGGCACAGCCCGAAGGTGAGGACCGAGCCTCTGCTCAAGGCCCTCCATCTCCAGGCCCAGTGGCCAGAAGATGACAAGCTTCATGTACAAGAAAAGAAGGGGTCCTCCTGCTGGGACAGAGCAAGGTCCTGGGGGCAACAGGGGGCTATGCCTGAGGGAGCACGTGACAGTGGCCTGAGGAAGGCCAGGGTCCCCAAGGCCCTGCCCCCAGTTGGTGCTGGGAGGAAGAAAGTGGGAAGCAGGAAGAGGCCCGAGGCCCCAAGACCCTTACCTGAGAAGGCATTATTGGTGTTGAGGAAGTAGATCTCCTCACGGCCATCCCCATCGATATCACAGGCTGTCACCCCGATGGCGTTGCCCTGCCGGTCCCGCAGCGCATAGTAGGGGGAGCTGCGCTTGTCCACTGCGATGTTCACCAGCCGCTTCTGGGCCCGGTCGTACTTCAGAACCAGGTTGGGGCCGTTGTACCTGGAGGGGAAGGGGAAGGGGACATTGGGGAGGAGCATCTGGGCCATGTGGTTCCACCCGGCCGGCAATGGGCCCAGAGTCTTCCAGGAGAGCTCAATGTGGGGCAGTTCAGCCTCACAGCATTCCTGAGGCACCCTCAGCAGCCTTGCCTTGGGGGTCCCTGGGTGTTAAATGAGTGTCCCTGAATCAGACATGGGCCCAGGCAGAGTGAGAGTCAGCTGAGCCCACATGGGACACAACATAAGGAGCAGGGTAGTGGAGGGGAGTGGGAAGCCTGTGACAAGCCCCTTACCACAGGCTACGCTGAAGAAACAAGAACCTCCCAGACATTTGCTTTGACCATTTCAATGTAAAAGACACTGTCATATTTATGATCTCATTCATTTAAATCTAACAACAATTAGGCAAGGGAGGTGAGGAAGGCTGCATAATCAACCTGTTTTATAGATGGAGCAACTGAGAGTTTCATCAGGGAAACTAAGGCTCAGAGAGGTTCACTGCCCTTCCCAAGGTAACACAGCTAGTAAGTATCAGATGCTGGAACTCAAACTCAGGCCCTTCCTGCTATCCTAAGAGCCCTTGTGTGAATGAGCTGAGGAGGACCAGAGGCTCTGTGGTTGCGGTTTGGGATGACTCTCTCCTGACAGAAGTCCCAGCATTTAAGCAGTAAATATGAAATTTGCATCTCAGACGGGAGATTATAAACACATCGAAAGTCATTAGGCAGACCTGCTGGATTTCTTTTTCTATGAAAATCAAAACCAAATGGTTAAAGTGCTCATCAGTCCTCATCTCTCTGGTTTCATTCTCCTGTAGCCACATGGCCCCAGGCATGGTTTTGCCTCAGGGACTTTGCACTTGCTGCTCCCTCTGCCCAGGATGCTTTTCCTCCAGGTGTCCACATGGCTGTCTCCCTCCTTCACCTCCTTCGGGCCCTGGCTCTGTTGTTCCTTCTCAGAGGCTTTCCTGCCCACAGTCCAGAAACTTGCAGCCACCACCACCCTGCACTCCTTCACTCATTCCTCCCTGCTGCTCTCTTCCCCCATGGCTGTTACCACCAGCTGACGAACTGTATCTTCTTGGTTATCTGCTCCTTCTCTGTCTGATCCTACTAGAATGTCAGCTCCACGAGGGCAGAACATTCTGTCTGTTTTGTTCCCCAGAGCCTATAACAGTGCCTGGCACACAATAGGTGCTCAATAAATATTTGTTGAATGATTAAATGAGCTTATATCCAAGTCATAGGGGCTTGGGTAGATTTCCCATCATGAAGAAAGCGGAGTGCCCAAGGTCACCCCCTAGACAGCACAGCTATGGATGTCTGAAGGCCTCCTCCCACTCCTGGTTCCAAAGGAACCCAGACAACCCCCATCCATTAGTCCCTGGCCTCTGCCTTTGTTTTAACCTGAGTGTGAGCATCCTGAGTTCAGCTACCGGCCTCTGGATGGTCCTGGGCAGAGAACAATTTGGGGAGAGTGGGGAGAACTCTAGAAGGTCTCTGAGAGAAATGATTTCTTGCTTTCCTGAAAGAGATCCAACTTGGCCCTCTCCTTCGTCACCAAGTGCAAAGCCTGTGAAGTTTGGGGGATGCTGAGCAACTGGCTGGGCGCCTTCTGGCACCCACAGTGTGTGAAAAGGGAGACAGAGCTCACTGGGGGCTGAGTCAGCACCTGGTGATGGAAGGTTGAGCCTTAAATGTCTCAACAAAGAGTGTCTGAGGGCTGTGTTGAGGACACAGCATGACCTAAGGGACGCATCTAAGCAAGAGAGTCTGAACACTTGGGTTCCAGCACTGTCAGCAGCTGGCTCCAGCCCCCAGGGACAAAAAGTGCCTTCTGGGAGCTAAACACTAGTCCTAGCCTCCGGGTCTTCTCTTTACCACCGTCCCTACCGCTCCTCACAAGACACTGTAGTCCTCAGGTGCTGGGCCTCATTAAAAGCACTTTCACAAGCATTGTCTCACCTAAACTCACACAGTCCCAGAAAGAAGGCAGGAAGCAATTTTTCTAGAATAAGAAACAGGATCAGAGAGGCAAAGTGAGCTGTTCAAGGTTACACAGCTCGTACGTGGCAGTGCTGGGCCTCCAACTGTCTCCAGGGTCTAAATACTGTGCTCTTTCCATGTTGCCTATGGTGTCAACACTCTTAGTCCTCTGGATTTTTAAATTTTTTTCTCTGGCAGCCCCTCCCAGAGTAGTGACTGTGAGAAATGCCTGAGGATTTCATGTAAACAATGGTGATAATAACCCTACATTTCTACAGCACTTTACAGTTTCCAAAGAACTTTCTCATCTTTGATTTCACTTGCTTCTTGCAGGTCTGGACTCTGCCAGAGGTTAGTTTTGTAACCTTGGCTGTTCAGAAACCCATGTTCTGGGTTTCTCTTCTACAAAACAAGAGAGTTGGACTAAATCGGAAGGCCACAAAAGGGATGTCAGTTCCCACACGGACAGACCTGGGCAGCTGGATGTAGGTACGTGAGATTTCATGCTTCCTCTCTCTGACACCTGCCAGAGGTTGTGGGGCACTTCTAAGGAGTTCAGGAGGCTTTGGAGCTCAGTGAAATGGGGTTAGGCACTGGGAGAGGGCCCATGTTCTTAAAAAGCAGATGTGACTTCATAATCTCTGAGCCTGGGCCAGCGGGCAAAGTGATTGGTTTGGTGGCGATTGGAAAGTCTGCTTGAGAGACATGAGCATGGCACAGCCCATACTTGTGTGAGCGCCATCCAATGTTGGTGCCAGTCCACTGGGACAGGACTGCTGTGGGCAGGGAGGGGCCTGGGGGTTGGGCCCAGGGCAGCCTGGGCGTGGGCTCCTGGCCCTGCCACTTTCTGGTGCTAACCTTGAGCTTGTCACTTAATTTCTCCAAGTTTCAGTTTCCTTGTCTACTACATCTACTGTTACGTAACTCACAGGATGGCTGTGAGGATGAGAGAGAGGGTGTGACAGTGCTTGGTAAGCTGTGAAGAGTTACACAACTGTATGTTCTCATTATTAGAAACCCACAAACCAGCGAGGCATGCTCTCTCACTCCCCAGCGATCATTTTGAGAGTTTTCAAACGCACTCTAGTACTCCTCTTCCTAAAACGTCCCACCCGAACATGCGTCCTCTGCGGGTGTCTTTGTTTATTTCCCTTTATAACTAAAATTCTCAGAGTTGTCTTCACAAGCTGTCTCCACTTTCTCACCACCCTTTTACCCACCCCAATCCGCCGCCTCCTCCCCCCAATTCCAGCCAAGCCGCTCTTGTTACTGCTGGTGGCTTTCGTGTGGCCACATCCAAGGACACCTTTCCAGTCTCCCTCGGCCTCCACCGCACTACCTCCCTCTTAAAACCTGCTCCCTTGGCCCCGAGGCTGCCATCGGCCTCTGGGTTGCCTTCTCTCCCTGCTCCCCCCTCTCCCCTTTTGCAGGTTCTCGCTCCTCTCTGCCCTCTTAATGTTGGAGTCCCCGGGCTTGGTCCTGGGCCACCTTCTCCTCTCTGTCCCCCTTCACCAGGGGATAATATTCATTCCCAAGACTGACAACTCCCAAATTTATATCTCTTACCCAAATCCCCCGTCCAACCTCAGACTCATATATCTGACTGCCTACCTGACATCTCTCCTTGCACCCGCAGTCATCGCTGATGGAACTATTGATCGCTCATTCCCCTGCCCTGCAGTGGGCACCCAAGTACTAAAACCAGAAACCTGGTGTCGGCCTTGGTTTTCCCACCCCCTCGTCTTCGCATCTAATGCAGCCGCCAATCCTGTCATTTCTACCTCTTAAAATATTTCAAGTCCTTTCTCTTCTTTCCTCCCCCACTGCCACCATCTCCAGAGGGCCTCCTTCCTCTCTTTCCTCACTTGCCCCCATCAATCTAATGCCCCCATATCATAGCCACAATCATCTTGTTAACACACAGATCTGACCGGCCATTCTCCTGCCTTAAACCCTTTGGTGGCTCCCCATTATGTTGCAATGGAACCCAGACCCCTTATCACGCCTGGAACCGGGAGCCCAGCTCGGTCTGCTGCCCGCTTTGCTGACCTCCTCCTCCAGCCACACGGGTCCCAGCATTCTGGCAGGCGTGGTCCCAGCCCCGGCCTCTCACAGGACTGCTCCCTCTGCCTAGGACACGCTCTTCACCTCCCTCTGGCCTCTCATGCTTTAGGCCTCACCTTCAAAGTCATCGGAGAAATCTTCCCCTCCTGGGTATCCACTCTCCCACTCTTGTTTGGTTACTTACTTCTTGGCCATTTCTCCCAGCAAACCATAAGCTTCACGAGGACAGGACGGTGTCTGCTTTGTTCACTGCAGTCTCCCCATCACCTCGTGCATGCCGAGGGCCCAATAAATACTTGTAGAGTGAGCTAAAGAGACACAGCCTGTGGAAGGTGCCAGTTCCTTTCTGGGAGGCTGAGCCAAAGGTTGACCGAGCCACCAGTCTCTTGATTGGTCTTTGGCCCTCTACTTTTATTAATTCCCAAAAGATACAGATATATAAATAGTAATGACAGAGGAAGACAAAAACTGGTGTTCTGGATAAGAGTGAGAGAGAATACCAAAATGTTATAGATACAGAGAATCAACCTTTTTTTTTCTGTTCAGAATCATTGACCCATGTGAAAAAATAATCTCTTCGGCAGTTACATAAAGAGAACCCAGATAATAGGATGTAATAATTATTGGGTACCTACTACAGACGAGATACTGTGCTAAGTCATTTACAGATGATAACTCATTGCACATAAATAAATTTTTTTTACATTTGAAAGATATGTAAAATATGCTATTTTAAAAATTAAGAATACAAACCTTTTTTCATTTAAAAAGGAAAACAATGAAAAATATATAGGTATTCAACATTATCATCAGGGGAGAGAGGTAGGGCAGAAAGAAGAGACAGATGTATGTTTACACAAAGAATGCAAGATAGAGACACACAAGAATAAATAAAAATAGAATCTGAGCGAAACCCGGAGCACAGAGAGAAAAACACATGCATAAACACAGG